ACGTCCTCTCTCAATCGCACACTTCCGCAAGACAACGACGATAATGCATTTCCCGCGCCACCGCCGTACTCCTTCATCAGCATTACGCCCTGACTCCTTCGACTCCACAAATACCACAACAACCTACCGTTCATTTATCTCATCCACTTCATCACATCGCAAACGCAAGCTACTATCGAAGATGAAGCAGCTGTTCCGCAGCACGACGAGGCAAGAACGGCCGAATACGCTAGTATTGATGCGCAGTGGGGTATCGAGGAAACCGAGTACATTGGATTTCAGATGCGTTGGGATGAACGACAGCCGGCTGGATATGGGTATGTTTACGACGCCGGTATATGGGAGGAGGCAGGAAGAGGGGGCACCTAGGATCGAGGTGGAGTTACCAGGAGAGGTCGAAGCGGGAAAATGGGGGAGAGGATGGTTTGAGGGAATTTGCTGAGGATTCGGTTTTGTTGCTGGCCATTATTTCACGATTTTACGAACTTACGACAGACGGTTACGAAAACTTATGACGATACTTTCCATTGTTAAAGGGTATGAGGAGTGGTAGAACGGCGTTTTTGGCGTTTTTGCATTGTTTAATTGCTTATTTATGTAAAGATCATGTAATTTTTTGCGTTTGATAGATACCTTTGTTTCCCCCCCCCATCGGGAGGATTAACAAACACCAACTTGCGACTGGATGGTTTCTTTGTTTGGAGTTAGGGGGTTGTTGACAATGGAGAGGGTATTGGATTAGGAACAGGATGTCTTGGAATTACTTGTTTACTCTGCGTGTTTACAGTGGGGATGTCAGGAAGATTTGTGTGCACTTGGGATCGGCATGGATGGGTTACTGGAAGGGAAGCGAAGGGAAGGGGGAGTTGTTTTCTTGTGCGCTTTCTCTTGGGATCGAAGGATGTCTGATGTGGAATAGGTATCGGAGAAAGCTATATGGCATCGACACAAGCATGCAAGCACATATTTTCTGCGCTGAAATAAGCATTCCGTTATCGTTATCTTCACGTGAGACCAAGAGGTTATATTTACGGTGGATGTGTGCGTGTTTATGTATGAAACATCGACAGGCGGATACCCGGAGAGGTAGGAGGAGAATGTTCGTGTTGGGGATCCGGGACTGGATAGCTGCTGATTATGAGAATGCAATGGAGATCAGCGTGGGGCACGATGGATAAGCATGGATCTAGCCCTTGATCGTAGGTAGGTGTGCTCCAACCATTGCCTACAATTGATCTACCATGTATTGAAGATATGAATTCCTCAGACCACCTAACTAGCTATCTTCCAATTCTCAGTCGCGTTTAGAGGTCTAAATCCCATCAGCCCCGTCAAATTCACTTTCGATATCTTCGCGGAGCTCGACGGAAACGCTTTGTACCACACTGTGGAGACAATAACCTTAAGGCTGGTTGGTTCCTGCACATCCTTGATAAAAAAAGACGCACATGACTGATTACTCGTACATAGGGCTGGACCGTGCGACGTCCGTGAAACATCCTGCTTCTAGCCCACTTTCCAAACTTTATTGAGCTTCCCAGAATGTTTCACATCCAAATTGCAGTTCCAGGGCACTTTCGTAACAACATGAAGAAGGCGAAACAACAGGGTTGTCGGTTTCCGATGGGCATGCATACATGGATATATATTTATATATATCTGCAGCGATTTTTCATACAGTAAGCAGCTTTCTGCCGGCAGATTGGGTGAATGAGAGCTAGAGACGTTAAACTGTGCAGTTCTATATATTCCCCACCTGCATAGCGAAAGCAAGCGAGGACACAGCAGCAGCAAACTAGCAGCTCCAGACAACGATGTCCCCGGATTTCGTTTGTCTTAATGGCAGATAATATGCCGTCCCGAGCGGGCCCGCAGGCGTAATGCGCCGGGAGGGTGCAGGTGAGACCTTTGGTGATGATGAGGAATCCGTCTTTATATACTCTGGAAGTGTAGAAACGTGCTCATTTGAGAATCACGCATTACAGGTTGATCCAAAAGTTATATCTACTAAACCGGCCGGGGAAACAATGTATATTTCCAAGTGACCTAGCCTAGCCCTTAATTTCCCAGGCGAGTGCTAATATAGCGGTTACCTGCGTATGTGGGTTGTTTAAAGTAAGCTCGTAATCATCGTTATAATTAGAGGCTTTTGGTCTGGAGTTTCTTCGCGATGTGATGTGCAGCGCGAGCTCGGGAGATGCCTATCAATACAACGCTCGTAGAATGCACTTTTGAAGCACAATATTAGGGATGGTTTACGCTTGCTGCGGACAATCAATAAACTGCTGTTCTAGTTCAATGCTCACTCAGCGTGCACCAGCTCTACGTGTATACGTCTGTACCGCACCTACCGGGTACACTCAATGGAGAATGAACAGCGTAGGATACCACGGTATATGATGATCATATCATTTCTGTAATTGGATACTTTGAGTGTGCACATACTGTTTACTCTCCATGCACTGAGGTCGTCACAGCTGTAGGTAGTTCGAGACTGATTCACGTGTACGCTGCAAAGAAGAGGATATAGTTAAGATGTGGTGTGCTGGCTCAGTGAAGAATGCAGCCCAATCGCTGGTGGGCCGCTAACAGCGATGAGGCCGGCCACTGAGGGTAAAGTGACGAGGCTAAAGCTAGAAAATCTGTGACGGCATATAAATAAGTAGAGCCTGAATCACCCCTTCTCACTCGCTTTGAGAACATGACTCCGTGAGAAGCTATTCAGATATCCCAAGGCGATGTGGTGCAATGGCTAGCACGTTGAGAAAACGGTATTATTATCGTATTCTTAAAGGTCCTGGTTCGATTCCAGGCATTGCTGCTTCATTTTCATCCTGGGAGGGAAATTTAAGGTTTGAGCTATCGAGACAAACTTTGACACTATCAGCTCCGAGTTGGTCACCACCTTCCGAGATTTCGGGATCTCACGATATTATACCGAGAGGTAACGACCAACGAGCATCACCTACTATCAACTTGGTTGATACACAGCTCAGAAGCATTGTTTGAGGTTAGTTTGTTTGCTGGGGTTTTCGGTCATATGTCATTTGAACGGTGCCAATCTTTGATTTGATTCTGTGGTCATACTCTGATTTCCCGGTTTTGATTCTTCTCGTAAGCATTCTCTTTCAAGCTTGTTTGTCTCCACCTCCATGTCCTACTCCTGGTCCTAAATCTAGTAGATGATATCCGTCACGCAATCTCACTCGCTTTTACAGTCATGATTCAGTGAAACGCTATACAAACATCCAAAGGCGACGTGGTGCAATGGCTAGCACGTTGAGAAAACGGCATTATTATCGTATTCTTAAAGGTCCTGGTTCGATTCCAGGCGCTGTCACCGATTCATTTTCGTGCTGGAGGGTGAAATTAAGGTTTGACCAGCAAGACAAGCTTCGATAACCTTATTTACCAGTTATTTGAATGGACACGGTACCCTGTGAGCGTGTTTAAAGAACCGCTTTACCGTTTTCTACGGGTCTTTACTTGGTTCCATTGGCATCGGCAGAACTGGGTCGCCAGGCGGGACATAACAAAAATCTCCGAGCAAAACATCGTTGATCATACATCATCACTCAGTCACAAGATAGCCAAAGCGGCTGCCCCAAGATACCTCGTCCCACAACCGCAGTAGCCTCGTCCTATCTGCATTTGAATCCCGGGACTAGATCTCGTAACTCTCGGATACCTCATGTCTGCTTATATTGAGCTGTAATACCACTGATCTCTTGCTTATGGAACTTGCCAATCTTCTCTTCTAATTCCTATATTAATTTCATTGTGCGTATCTCTCGTTTCAATCCCTTGACACAATGTTTAAATTTGTATTGTTTTGTCATCTCATATAACTCATTTTATACTGTAAGGTGTGCATCGCCTCTGCAATGGTGCGGTCCTCCCATTCGCACTCGCGACCATGTCGACTCCCAGCGTTCTCCAGCATTGGAGTGCCTGATTCCTGCTGTAACACAACTTGCTTCTCAGTTGCTGCGAGTCTACCTTCAATTAGACTGTATTTCTGGGCATCCTCAAGATTGGATCGAAGGTCATTTACCTGATCACCGAACATCATGGGTGTGTTATTGAAGCTGGTGCCGATGTCCTTGTTAATGTCACCGGTCTGCCAATCTCCAGCTTCAAGTACGCCCTTGACTTGCTCCTTCACAAGATCCTGGAATCAACACCGCTTGGCTTCGTTGATGTTAGCAGGACCGCGAGCTCATAACAAAGAAACGGCCAGCCTTAAACAGCGGCTTCGCTGCTTCTGGATATTCGAGTCCGATCTCGGAAGGTGACCCTTAGTCATATATTCTCACTCGTTGTTGAAGTTGTGATTCTGTGGGAATTTATACAAATATCCCAAGGCGACGTGGTGCAATGGTTAGCACGTTAAGAAAACGGCATTATTATCGTATTCTTAAAGGTCCTGGTTCGACTCCAGGCGCTGCTGCTTCATTTTCATAGTAGAGGGGTAATTTAAGGTTTGAGCTATCCAGAAAATCTTTTGACTAGTGATAAGCATGACCTGAGCCGGCTCGAGATAAATTCTCAAGCTTTGAAGCCTGAGCCTGCCTAAACGCCATGCGAGAAGTTGTCGTTACGGGTTGCTTTTTATTTCGCTGGCATGAAGCAGAAACTGTGTCAGCCTCCCTCTTCTAAGTACATATTCCGGCCAATAAACTCATTTCTAAACCCCACTTCAAGCCCACCGCACAGAAGGTCATCTTAGAAATTGTGGGATACGAATAAGCGATCCTCGAAAACGGCGTCCGCGGATGGAGTTGACGAGAACGACGACTCCATTGTTCTTGGCCTAGAACCGGACGATCTAGTATGCGAATTTCCGGCTGGATATTTTCCACCGGCCCCATATGCCAGCACCAACTCCCCTGCTATGACCGCTAATAACTTCGGCATGGTTAAGTTCACAGAACCCTGATCATAAAATCTCACTCACTGTTGAAGTTGTGATTCTGTGAGAATGTATACAAATATCCCAAGGCGATGTGGTGCAATGGCTTAGCACATTGAGAAAACGGCATTATTATCGTATTCTTAAAGGTCCTGGTTCGATTCCAGGCATTGCTACTCTCTTTTCACACCAGGAAAGAAATTTAAGGTTTGAGCTATCGAGATAGGCTTTGGCTAGTGATGGGCGTGAGCAGTTGGAGCCAGCTTGAGATGAGAGCTCAAGCCTTGAAGCCAGAGTCAACCCGAACGCTTATGAGAGAAACTGTAGGTCAGCCTCCTGTTGCATCTCCCGTCCCCGTCAATTTATAAGCTCCACATCGACCCACCGCTCCGACAATGAAAGCTCCTTCTAGTTACTATGGAAAACCAAAAGGCTATCCTCGATTGTTATGACATCGCGCAGTAGTTCCTGTACGCTCCTTCTCTGGAACCAAGTCCTCTTCAGAGTCTCAATTTGCGAGTCTCACCCACCATAAGTTGAGTCAGCTCAAGCCGATTAGACTCAGGCCAGTAGATTCCGCCGGTAAAACCAAGTTGAAAATCTTTTTGTTTGTTTTGTTTTATTCATACTGTATGCACTCTAAGTAGAGTATGGCAGAGTCCATATTTCCTCTGCCTACGGGCGAGCCGGCTAGATGGCAGATTTTCCCACCCACTACCCTTCATCCCCTTCACAACGGGGGGCTGGCACTGGGATTCGAACCCATAGCACTGTGGCCATATACCCCGCTTATATTTTCAGGTGCGATACCACTGCGCCACGGGGCCAACCCCCCATGTTGAAAATCTTCTGTCCTAGGGTCCTGCTGCAATACTAGAGCTATATACAAGGGTATGACGAAAACCATTGTCGGGTATGGGATTCGGTGATCAACATCGATATCCACAAAGAACCCCCCGTTGCAACCACAAAATCAATGGTAATCCGTCATATGTACCTTGTATGCGGCTTTACAAATTGAAATTCTCAGCACCAAGGCCATGGGATCCAGCAGCATGACCAACTCGCAGCTGGTAGTGCCAAAGCTTGTCTCAATAGCTCAAACCTTAAATTTCCTCCCTGGTGTGAAAAGAGAGTAGCAATGCCTGGAATCGAATCAGGACCTTTAAGAATACGATAATAATGCCGTTTTCTCAATGTGCTAGCCATTGCACCACATCGCCTTGGAGATATTCGTATCCATCTGTCGTCAATCATATCTTGCACAAATGAGTGGAGCGGGAGATGTGTGGCCAATCGGGCAACCTACGAAACGGGTTTATCCTCTGTTGCTTTAAGCCCATTTGACTAGTTACTAAGTTCAATGTTCACGCAAAATACTTGAGAATTATATACCCATCCCACTGTCTATCTCGCACTTATTACCGCTTGAATATAAATTACACACTCTAAAGTGAAGTGCCAGGGGGCGAGATTGTGCAATAAGTAATACGAGAGAGGCAGTAATGCGTGGTGTGGCGCGGCGGAATCAGTATTGTCTGTTGTCTTTTAACATGTCTTCACCGCCGCGCCCTGTACTGTGTGCAGAGAGTAGTGTGTTTCAGTACATGGCGTCACCTCCGAACGTACGATGGGTACGAGGAAAAACCCAACGAATAACCATGATCATGGCGAGGGGGGGTTTATAGGCCTAGCCAAGCAACCTACTTAAGTACTCAGTATGGGTCGGGATTGCAGGAGTATCTCGGCAACTATCACCACATGCCTACGGGTTTCCGTGGTGGCTTACGTACGTGCACGTTAGTCTCCCGAATACCTGTCGGGCCGAGTGTTCAGGAGTATATCGGGAACTACTCTAACAGCACGTGCGAAGTCGACTCACTCCATTGGGCAGCCCTCTCACACAGCAACAGCATGTGCACTCTATATCCGGGGCGTACTGGGGGATGGTGCTCCCTGAAGTGTGGGTCAGTTCTACCCGTGGTAGTTTACTACACACCCTCGGTGGTCGGTCAAACATCATGGAAATCCGCCAGCGAAAGATACCTATTCTGTTTATCTGCTAGCGAGTACAAAAGCATTACATATGTACTGCATGGGGTTGGTGGGTCAAGGAAAGTATTTCGTCACTATTTTTCGGGCCAAACCCCATTTTACATGGCTTTTTGACTTCCAAATGCCTGCCCATGGGCCCAAAGACTGAGATCAGACTGTAATCAGGTCAACAGAGGGGAAAAGGATGTCAAAAGACTTTCCCGAAACCATAAAGTACTTTCGTGCCACTATCCATGTCTTCCATGACCGTTGTTGTAGTAGTATGAAAAGATGATAGTGTATTCTTAGTCTAAGTGAGCAATCTCTATCCTTGTGGATCCATACATATCCCCTTCTGGCCTGTGTGCTCCACAGAACCACACCTCATATCAACCCTTAATTCTCTCCACATTACATCCCTCCCGAGAAGTTCAAGATACTTTTTGCAAAAAAACAAACCCTCTGCCTGAAACAAAAGAAACTTCCATGCCTCAACTCCTTGGCAGAAAATACAAAACCCACTGTTAAAACAAAACTCCCATGCCTCAACCCCATGGCATATGGGCCATTAGCAAAAAAAAGGAAAAAGCCATGAAAACACAAAACAAAAACCCACTTGTCATTGACTAATCAACAAAGTATAACCAATGGCTATTGACTCTATGGCATAAAGTACCAATGACTGTTGACTCTGTGGAATGAATTGGTTCGTTTCAATTCAGCCTTTATTTCTTCCAATTTGTATTGTTTTTTGTAGTTAAGTATTGTCTTTGCTCTTGAGTTATTGGTGTCTGGTTTCCAGAATATTTCATTATTATCACAGGCTTTCCACTGGATTAAATATTTGTACATCAGCAAAAACACTTTTTGCTTGTTGATGTTTCTAAGGTTGCTGTCAGGTTGCTGAGATTTCTGCTGGGTTTCTGAGGTTTCTGAAATTGGCAGGTACTGTACTTACTCAAATATAATTCTGGAAAACTTGTTAGTATTACTGAGATGAGTGATTCACCCCCTATATCAGTAGACTCTCCCTGACAATACCAAATTCTACTCTGTATGAAAACTTATATTAACATTTCTATTCCAACCAGTATACGATTTGTCTCTGCAGATTTTATTTTTGAAGAAGTTTTTCAAAACCTGAAACCTTAATCCACTTAATTGTTACCATCACGATTACTATTACTATTGCCCTGTCAGCTATTCATATCCCTGAAGTCTTATTTTACTTGCTCTATCCTATATTTGTACTATTATCAATATTACCATTACCCTCACAATCAATATTGCCGTGACAACTATTTATACTTCTGAAGCCCTATTTTACTCACTATACTCTGTATTTGCTCTGTTGTCACCATGACCATTACCCTAACCACTATTCAAATTTCTAAAGTCATATTTTACTTGCTTTAACCTGTATTTATACCATTGTCACCATCACTATTATTATCACTAACACTATTACCATCGCTATTGTTTTGGCAATGTCACATTGAGAGTCTCACTCCAAGTTCACCGGTTCACAGACTATTTTTACTCACTTCAGGACTGCTTCAACAGCAGGTTGCGAGCTTGACTTGGGATGTCGAAAAATCATGGAAAGATTTTAAATAAAAAAAATAGACTTTCCAATATATATATTGTTAAGGCTTGTGGTCTTTGCTGAGAAGGTTGATGCCCTTTTCTATTTTCGAAGAAATCCAAGGTCTTTATACTTTTATCTTTACTATAACAAGATGCTTCTTCTATTTACACTTGTCTCTAGAGCGGCTGAACCAACTTCGAACCCATCATCAGGAAAAACCTAAAGTAGATTGCCGAGCTCTCTGACGTTTGTGAGCTCAGCAAGCAAATGTTTGTATTTAGGTTTCCGAAACTCTGGGCGAGCAATTCACCTGAGCGGCATGCTTGTCAAGGGTTCATGAAGAGTTGATGACGCGTTTATGAATGCGGGCCCATGGTTGCTACCTTTGGTATGAGTTCATAAAGTATTCATGAATGCTTCATGAATGTCACAAACCTCAGAAATCTCGGCAAGCACAGCGGAAATTACTCATTTTACCCCTGATTCCACTCGGTCAAGGTCACAAATGCAATTTCCGAACCAAAGTACACTTGAATACGAGTGCTCATTAAAATAAGCAAATTTTCATTAAACTAACCGAAATCTACTAATAACTAGTTTCGAATTTCTATTTTCACTACCACACCAACTATCTGACCCAAGAGATTGTTTGATCGAACGAGTAATTTGAGTACTCCATCATGGTCACAGCCCTGCTAGTCGTATGGGTAAGGAAAGGCAGGAGCAGGAGCAGGAGCAGGAGCAGAGATGTAGTGCAGGAGCAGAAGCAGAAACAGAGAAGTAGAACAGCCAGTCAAGAGCCAATAATCGATGTACCCCAGCATGCTTCCCCCGTCATGATGTACTTGACCAGACAAATCTATTGAGCATACCCACGAGCCAATTGGAGTTGATCTGCAAAAGTTCAAAGTTGGTTGGAACTGGAGGTCATGGTGATGGAGGAGGAGAATTAGAAGAAGTAGAGCAGCCAGTCCAGAGTCTATAATACGTGTACCCCAGCATGCTTGCACTGTCTTAATCTACTCGCCCAGACAAGTGCATTGAGCATACCCACAAGTCGATCGGAGATGATCTGCAAAAGTTCGGCGGAGTCAGCACTGCAGCACAAGGAGGAGGCGAAGGCAGAGATGGAGGAGAAGTTGAGCAGCCAGTCCAGAGTCAATAATGGACATACTGTAGCGTGCTTGCACCGTCTAAATGTACTCGGCGGGACAAATCGATTGAGCGTACCCACGAGTTAATCGGAGTGGATCTGCAAAAGTTCGAAGCGGGTTGGAACCAGAGGGGGTGGTGGTGAAGGAGGAGAATGAGAAGAAGTAGAGCAGCCAGTCCAGAGTCAATAATGCGCGTACCCCGGCGTGTTTGCACTGTGTTGATCTACTCGCCGAGATGAATCGATTGAGCATACCCACGAGTGAATCAGAGTTGATCTGCAAATGTTTGAAGGGGTCAGCACTGGAGAAGGAGGCAGAGGCAAAGGCAGAGATGTAGGAAAAGTAGAGCAGCCAGTCCAGAATCAATAATACACGTACCCCAGCGTGCTTGCACTGTCTT